TGCACATTCCCAGCTGAAGTGAACAAGACGATGTTCTGCCTTCCTGTTTCAGATCTTGTACTATAAATATGTCCATTTTGTGGTCTATTTTGTGCCATGTTTTCCACATTTTTGCACTTTTTAATGATGATTTTGTCATTTAAAATTGTACCAAGCATAGTGCTGAAGTGCTGTCTGGTGTTTCAAAGTGCGAGAAGGTGGTAGTGTCTCGTGAGGGAAAACGTACATTTTGGATAAGCTTCATTTAGGCAGAAATTATAGTGCTATTAGTGGTGAATTCATTGTTAATGAATCAACAATACGATACACCCAAATAAAAGAAGAGGAAACTCACTGATCTGTATGTGATGCTGCTGCGGAAGGTACTAAAGTAACATCTATATATGCAGCAATGGAAAAGATGGAAAAGCAGCTAAATAGGTGGATTCATGGAATGATGACCAATAAAAAAAGCATAGAGGATAGCAGTGTTGCGTAATTTGAAAGCCAAAGAAATTTATGGGCGTGTTACCCAGCATCAGGAAAACGTTAAACCCTTCTTGGCTGGTGTTTATGCATATAATTATTTGCAAATAAATAAATAAATAAATATTTTTAAAAGATTAAACAGAAACACGTATAAAATAAGGTTATTTGTTGATATGCTGTTAAAAATGTTTTGACCAGAGATTTGCAGGAACCTAGCCCTGTGTTTTCCCTACCTGTAGTGGCTCATTTGTTTGCTAATTCAGTTCATCAACATTATAGAACATAATTACCACAGATTAAGAGAATGTTCTTCCAGACGGCCATGCTCCCACAATTGCTGTATGAATCTGCTCTTTTCTCCACTCCCAGCTAACACAATGTTGTTTCAAACTTTTTGATATCTGAAACCTGGTAGTCTGATAATAGTCTGAAACCTGAATAATGGTATCTTGTGGTTTTAATTTGCATTTATTTTAGTATGAGTAATGTAGACTATCTTTTCATATGTTTTAGAGCCATTCATATTCCCTGTTGTTCATATCCTTTTTGCATTTTCTTTGGATATTTGTCTCTTATTGATTTGTAGGGGATCTTTATATATTAAGAAAATTAGCCTTTTATGCTATGAATTACAAATATTTCCCCAAATTTGTCATTCATCTCTTGACTTGAATGGCAAAAACAAACACTATAAACAGGCCCATTCCTGTAATCCCAGCACTTTGAAAAGCTGAGGTGGGTGGATCACCTGAGGTCAAGAGTTCAAAACCAGCCTGGCTGACATGGTGAAACCCCGTCTCTACTGATAAAACAAAAATTAGCTGAGCATGAGAATCGAGAATCACTTGAACCTGGGAGGTGGAGGCTGTAGTGAGCTCAGATTGTGCCACTGCACTCCAGCCTAGGTGACAGAGCAAAACTCTGTCTTTAAAAAAAAAAAAAAAAAGAAAGCAAGCACTATAAATATTTTTAAACTAGTCAAATATATTGATCTTGGCCATCTTTTATGGTCTCTGGGTTTCGTTATGGTTTAAAAGCTTTCCTTAAGAGAGATTTAGAATGTTTTAAGAGTTGTGTTTGGTGTTTGTGTTTGATGTTTCGTTTCTTTTGGTATTTGTAAGGAATTTAGTCTTCTTAATGTGTAACAAGTATAAATCCTTATACTTGCTACACGCTTATAAATACTTATACTGAGTAGATTTCAGAGTAATATAACAATGAAATACCACAGGCTTTGTGATTCCAGAGTCCAGCTTGAAATCCAGTCTGTGCGCCTAGTAAAATGACTTAAGCCATACTGCTTCCCTTCTCTGAGCCTCAGGTTCCCCATCTCTGCTTTGCTGAGTTCTGCTATGAAAGAGAATGCCTGGCACATCATAGATTCTCAGTGTTAGCTCCTCCTTGTCCTACTTCCCTGAAGTCTTCCACTAAGAAATAAGTTGTTAAATTAACTTGCATTATGCATGTACTACAAGTAATGAAATAATTTCTCTTTGAAAGTGTTTTGTAATTTAAATCCTAGACAATTTCTTCTGATATTTTAAAGCTAGCATGAATTAATGACTGATAACTGGTTTGAATTGTCATTATTAAAAAATGTGTCAGTACAATGCTTTGCCTTTTACTGGCGGATGGGATAAATGTTTGTGAAAACAGTGAAGAATGAATTTTTAGACATGGAGTTATTTTCTTTAAAAACTCCTAAACACTATATCTAGAAATCTTATTGAAAACTGTTTGTATAAAAATAATTATTGAATGAAGGTAATCAGTGTACCCTAATTTATCCTCTTTTGTAAGTCTAAATTTTTATGTTTATTCCATTTTTTGAAAGCAGACTACATGTATAGGGAGAATAATACATTTAAAAATCATTAAAATGATCTTTAAAAAATAAAGGGTAATGTCTTTATCCTTTGCTCTCATGGTCATATTGGCTATATTTTTATGATTTTTCTTGGCTAATTCCTGAGGAGTTGCCCCCTTAATATTTGGGGCATGAGGAAAAGGTGCAGTTTTAGAAATGCTTTAACTTTGTGTTTGAATAAAATTTATTGTCACTACTCTAGGAAACTTTGGTAAGACTTGAGTGCCTTTCCTCTGTTAGGCAAGTTAGACTATCCCAGACCTTGCTCTGAATGTCAAGATTTTTGAAGTTCAAAGCAGATGTGTGTGGATGAAAAAACATCTGGTGAAGAGAACTTGCTTCGTTGCATGACACTTTCCTGCACTCTTCAGTGGAGCGTCTGTTGAGCTGGTTGGCAGGTTTGATAACTAATTAATGATGAGGAATGAGCCATGTAACTGAGGAACTCCATTTTGCCCCTTATTGTCTCTTTCTTCCCCATATGTCTGGCAAAGCCTTCAGAGGCTAGGATCATGGATCACACAGTTGGGTCTCAACTCAAACACTTCTCTCCAGGCTTAACTAGCTTAGAGATATAAACAGATGGATGGCCTGGGGGACAGGGTTTAGTGTTGAGCAATGCCGTTTTATTATCAGGGACTTTTGAAATTTTTATTGGAGTACATTACAACTTTAAAAATACCTTCGAAAACTCAGAATTTTGATGCTATGTACTTGAATGTGACAGAGCTTTGTGTGCATCCGTGGATGTTTATGGTTTTCTTTTTGTAACTTTTTACTTAGGTATAATTTTACATATATAGAAAAGTTGCAAGAATAGTGCAAGGGACACTCATGATTCCTTTTCCCAGATTCAACCAGTGTTTTCCTTTTCTTCCATTTGTTTTCCCATCCTCGCACACTCCTCCCTCTACGTGCACACAAGCACACGCATACACACATACACACAAATAAGTGCATTTTTTCCCCTGAACTATTTGAGAGTGAATTGGAGACATCGGGCTCCTTTATTCCTAATACTTTCGTGAGTATTTCTTAAGAACAAGGCCATTCTACTAAATAATCACAGTACAGTTATCAAAGTCATGGCTTTTAGTATTGGTATAACACTACTGTCTAACTCATAGTCCCTTTTCCAACTTTATCAGTTGTCTCCATAATGTCCCTTACAACATCTCCCCCCACCACTGAGTCCAGGGTACAATCCAGGATGACACATTGTGTTGAGTTGTCATGCCTTCTTTAAACAGGAAGTTTCTCAACTTTGTGTTTTCTGACTTTGGCATTTTTGAAGAATTCAAACCAGTTATTTAGTAGAGTGTTGCTATTTCAAGTCTGTTTGATGTTTTCTCATTCACTTCTGATTATGCATTTTTGTCAGGAATACCAAATACCACAGAAGTGTTGTGTCTCAAGGTATCTTATCAAAAGGCACATGGTGCTGATTTGTGCCTTAATTGGTGGTGTTAGCTTTGTTCATTGAGTTAAGTTGGAGTCCATCAAGTGTTTCCACAGTGAACTAACAGTTTTTCCTGTTATAAGGTTTTTTGGAGAGATACTTTGAAGCTATTTAAATAGCCCGTCCCTCTTCAGATTTCCACCTGCTAGTTTTAGCAACCATTATTTTCTAACTCTGTTATTTTTTCTATACTTATTAGTTGGCATTCTGCTGAAGGAAGAGCTTTGTCTTCTCCTCCATTTATTTGTTTGGATCAGTATGGGCTCATTGGTTCCTACTTTGTTCAGTGGTTGTAACTCATTACTCTCATTATTTATTTTGACAGGCACAGATTTTTGCCAGTAAGAGCCCTTCGAGTTGACCCCTGGGTCTTTTGATAAGTCCCCTTTACTCTTTGAGCATTTCCTTACTTTTCTGGTACAACGAGATGTTCCAGATTCATTTTATGTTTTCTCTGCCCCAGCTCTGGAAGGGACATTTCTCCAAAGAATCCTGGTTCTTTTTTTTGTAGAGAATGGTATTTAGAAATTAAGGGCCAGGTGCAGTGGCTCATGCCTGTAATCTCAGCACTTTGGGAGGCCAAGGCAGGTGGATCACCTAAGGTCAGGAGTTCGAGACCAGTCTGGCCAACATGGTGAAACCCCATCTCTACTAAAAATACAAAATTAGCTGGGTGTGGTGGCACATGCCTGTAATCCCAGCTACTCAGGAGGCTGAGGCAGGAGAATCACTTGAACCCAGGAGGCAGAGTCTATAGTGAGCTGGGATTGGACCATTGCACTCCAGCCTCGACAACAAGAGCGAAACTCCATCTCAATAAAAAAAGAATTTAAGATGTGTGTGTGTGCGTGTGCGTGTTTTAAAAGAAACCACACTATGGAATATTACATTTACTAAATCACTGTATACCGTATGTATGAATGTGTGTGTGTGCATTTAATGTAACAGGAGTCAAACAGAAGAGCATTTATTTTACATGTAATAATCATAAGTTTTGACAGGAAAGAAATACATTTTTCATTTCACAGTAAATGGCATTACACAGTTTTAGTGATAAATCATCTTGACATTTATGAAGGAGCAAATGGAAAGTGGGGAACTGAGTGTGTTAAATATAAAGCTATCTTTAACTGTTCTATTAAAAAGCAAAGATTTATTTTCCATCTGTGATCTGAATGTGCCTATTTGTGTTCTCTTTTACGGCAGTGGAATTTCTGTGGAGCCACACGACGGAGAGCATGTGTGTTGGATATATGTCAGCCCAGGATGGGAAAGCCAAGGTAAGCGGGAAAAAACTGGGTCATAACCTGAAAACCTTGTAGCCATCGCACAAACCTCTAACCAGCTAAGTTGATGTGGATGAATTTTTTCAGCTTTTCTTGGGCAGTAGCTCTATGATCTTTGTAAGAATCTGAATAAGAACAGTTAACAATGCTAACAGCTCCAGAGAAAACCAGCATATCTATTTTGCTTTTGGTGACACAGCAAGGGAGCATTAGGAAAAGCCTGCCCACCTTCCCCCACAGCTCCCAGCTTCTTCCTTTTTGCCCATTGTTAATAAGTAGAAAAGAGGAAACTGGGATTTGGGAAGAGAAAATGGGAGTGAAGCTGATGAGCTGACATAGATAGATGATTGCAGATGGATAATTCTGCAAAGAGTGTTGGAATAAAGGAAACTGAGTCAAACAAGCTTTGACCCAGCCTGCATGTTTAATGGCACAGGTGACTGACATGCTTGCAAGTGTGACCCGTCTGATCTTTCAGTGTGTTCTGTCATGCCCTGACATGGTGTCTTCATGGGCAGAATCAAAGGTCTTTGTCCATGTGCCACATGCCCGTGGCACTCATCCCTCAGTGAGTTACGGTAATCACGTAGGCATCCACATCCCTCAGTGAGTTACGGTAATCACGTAGGCATCCACATCCCTCAGTGAGTTACGAATCACGTGAGGGGTGATCCAAAGATCCTCTGGGTGATACACTGGCGCTGAGTTACGGTAATCACGTAGGCATCCACATCCCTCAGTGAGTTACGATAGTCACACAGGCATCCACGTACTGTCTCCGGAGTTGCTTGGCTTCCCTGGACTCATGATGGTTGAGCCTGGAGTAAGCAACTTGATTTGTGGATTTTATTTTATGTTGGCCTCATGTTCTTCTTATTCATAAATTTTTTAGAAACAGCTGTGGCCTGTGATGTTTACTTGGCATTAAAGTCCCTCAGTTCTAAAGCTGTGAAGCTGTGCAGCCTTGTTTTTAAAGCAAATGATTTATTTTGCACATTTTGACATATAAAATAGGAAAACTTCTGATATGAACTGTCTGATACAGATTGAATCATAGATAAAGGATAAATATAATAAAGAACACTTTATTGCTTATTTGTCATGTAATACCCATCCCGACTGTCCTTTGTATATTATCTAGCCAGACTGTAGTTCCACAGAACTTTTGTGAGTAGTATAAAGAACATTTATTCAGACAAGGATTGGCTTATATTGTGAAAATATTACTGAGATCCACCCTCCCCCTTTGCTTCACCTTCAGCTGATACAATATTCATATTGTGTTAGTAGACCTATTTCCTAAGAGAATACGTAAAAGATTGCTTTGTTTCATAATTTATATAGAATGGAAATACAATTACCTATTTTAAAGGTGATTTAAGGGTTTAGAACAGCACTCTCTAATAGAATTTTGTGTGATGTAAACATTTTATATCTCTGTTTTCCAACAGGGAAGCTACTAGCCACATGTGGTTATTGAGCACTTAAATGTGGCTAGTTTGATTGAGGCCCTGAATTTTAAATTTTACTTAATTTAAATTTAAATAGCCACATGTGACTCATGGCTACCATATTGAACAGCACAGGTTTAATGAATAAGTATGAAAATGGTTATTCATATTTTCAGATTCATTTCCTCTCAGTGACAAAACAGTTCCTATACATAAAACAAGCCTGATAAACCCCAAGAATCCTTGCGTAAGAGTAGCTTGCAGCCATTTCACTTTCTCTGTTCCCTTACATAATGATTCAGAACTAAGATTGCTTTCTAACAAAAGAGCATGTTTGAAGTGGACTTCAGCACTGAAGCCAGTCTGGTCGGGTATGATTATGTTATTAAGTCCCTTGTGTGGACATTTTTTGTTATCCTTGCTGGTGGCCCATGAAAGACACCTTACTATTTAATGTGAAATATAGGTAGTAAAGAGTGGAGAGTCCTGCTATGAGCCCAAAGATATTTGGCCTCCAGTTATATTGCTTGACATCTGGTAGACATGGTTTTCTTATTGTTGGTAAATTCTCCAGCTGATAGTCAATTGGGCCAGCAGATACAGCTGGCCCTCTTGCCTCTCTTGTAAATTATGTTTTTGACCTTCCTTGAAGAGAGTTAATCCCTCTTCCTTCCTTTCCCCTTTGAGCCTGTGACTACAAATACTTTCAAGAAAAAAAAAGAAAAAAGAAAAAAAGAAAACCTGAAAACAAAAACACGAATGATTTGGCTGCCGAATTCTATTGATCAAAAAGAAAAATTACCTCTTTTGTTATAAATGCTAGAATTTTTTTTTGTATTGCAAGTAAGACAAAGTTGTAGATGAGAGGCTGAGCTCAAAAGCGAAAAGGGGCTATAACAATGTTTGTATTCTGTTTAAGCTTTGGACCTTCTTCTCCCTCTGGTTTCCTCACTTCTATGAAAGAATAGTTGAGCTAACTAGTGGCATACCCATTCAGCATCGTGACTGGTTTCCGAAGCATGTTCCTCCATAATGTTGAGAGCCATGGTAGCACAATGAGTAAGAAGGCATCTTAAAATATTTAAAATTTAAAAACTATTTTAAAAAGTTAAAACACTTGTGCCCTGCTTTTCAAAAATTATCTTCCTTCTGCTTGTTACCAAACTCAGAAACTGAAGCCACCTGGCCATTTGAACGTGTATGAGCTAGCTGTGTTTAATCCAAGTTAAAGCCTTGAATTAAAGCCTAGCTAAAAATCATATTGCTTAGAAAAGGCTGGATAATAATCAATATCATTGTAACCAGACTGCGTATATAATATGAATAGAGCTAGGTTCTTTTACAAGTCTCCTTTTTAAAAGAATGTTATTGCAATTAAATCATTCAATTTAATTTCTAAACTGCTTTGATAGCATAAGGTGAAGATTTCTTTCTAAGGAGTCAAAATTAGGGCATCAGTACCAGTTGGATTTTAAAAACAGATTGCCCATATCCTACCCAGATAGCAGACAGTTAATGAAGAGTTTTTAATAAACACCCAGTGTGCATGGACTACTGTAATAGAAACAGATGTTAAAACTGGCATGGAACTTGAACTCAACTATTATACATGAAATTAGGTTTCTTTTATTATGTGGAGGTCACTTTTTATAACTACAGCGAAAATACTGTTATAAAAATTTCCTTGAGGAGGAGCAGACTATTTTATAGTCTTTAAGTGTCTCTCCACAAACTTCTTATTAGTTGTAGGGAAAAATAATAACTATATAATGGAGAAACCAGGCAACACCTTGACCATGTGATCAAAATTAATACCACCAGTGAGGGGCAGATGGACAATATGTGCCTCTGGCTATGATAACTTGAGGATACAGTATCACTTGTCTAGTATTCCATCTGGAAATATATAACCTGAACCTAACTGTGAAGAAACATCAGACAAATTTAAAATGAGGAACATTCTGTGAAGAAAGAAAAAAAGAACCATGTTCTTCAATAATATCAATGTCATAAAAGACAGAGGCTGCAGAAGTATTCCAGAGGAAACAATACTAAAGAGATGTGACAACTAAATGCAGTAACTGGTCCTAGACTAGATCCTATATCGGAAAAATACTGTAAATGCATTATTAGATCAATTTACAAAATTGGAATATGGATAGTAAAAAGTATCATATCATTGTTAAACTTGCTGAGGTTGGTTACTGTACTGTGGTGTATAATATTTTTATTCTTAGGAAATATATACTAATGCATCTAGGGGTACAGGGCCATAATATAGGCAATATTTTCTCAGTGGTTCAGAAAAATGTATTATGTGGATGAATGGATGGATAGAGCAATAGCAAATTGCAAAGCAAATGGAGCAAAAGTAGGTGAACCTTGGTAAAGGATATATAGATCTTCCCAGAACTATTCTGTAATTCTTAAATTATTTTCAAATTAAAAAATTTTTTAAATGTCACTCTTGGGTCTTGTGGCACATTTGATTAGTTCTTTGGGCCTTGTACTTGAAATGATGCAGTTCAAAAAATATCACCCTTGGTTTATAACTAAGTCTGCATTGGATGAATGATTACATTCCCCCAAACTATTGCCTTTTTCTCGTTTTGAATTCCTGACTAGAATGACCAAAATTCAGATAATAACACATCCCATTACAAATATTTTGCAAAATATTTCTGTAATAGTTCCTTGTTTTCCAGTGGGATCTAAGAGAGATTAAGCTTTTTCATGATCAAGGTACTGTCCTCTTAGGATGTTTTTTGTTATATTACTCAGCTTTTCTAAAAAAAAAATTTTAGTCAACAAATATTGTTGTTGTTGTTGTTTTGAGACGGAGTATCGCTCTGTCGCCCAACAAATACTTATTTGTAATGCTTCTCCGCCTTGTGTGACAAACCCTGTGTCATACTCTGACACATGCTAATGGAACAGGACAGATGTTGCCCAAACCATATTTCCCTAGGGAAAGCACAGGGCACTGGGTGGTAACTCAGTGATATTTACATTTTGTTTTTAACATTTTCTATTTTAATGCCATGAAGTCTTCCAAACCTCATGAGGTCATGCCAGGATTTCTATTATTGGCACATCTGACTAGTTCTTTGGGCCATGCAGTTAAAATAAATAAGTATTGGGATGGGTGCAGTGCCAGGAAGTTGGAGCCTGGGTTGCCCTCCCACTCCATGCACACTGTGAGCTGTGGTTTGATCACTCTGCCTCTGGATCCCAGAGGCCTCATCTGTCATGTGAGCATAAGAAACCCATAGTTCGCCTTAAGCCCTTCCTGTGATACGATATGATAAGAATGAGGAAGCAAAACCTTATCTGTCTCAATACGGATGACTAGACCCCATTAAGTCCTTGATGTTGCTTCCAATCTGCAGAATTCCAAATTCAGTGTTCCAGATTACATAAACATATATGTTGCTATTCAATTTTCAGTAGGAGTTTTACAATACCAATATAGTATCTACTGTGTTCTAACATGTTTTATCTTCATGAAGATGGTTTCCAGGACTTTTAAAAAAACTCAGTGAA